GTAGAACTGGATAGTTACCCTGTGGGTTGTGGCCCTCTATGGTAGAACTGGATAATTACCCTGTGGTTTTTGGCCCTCTATGGTAGAACTGGATAATTACCCTGTGGTTTGTGGCCCTCTATGGTAGAACTGGATAATTACCCTGTGGTTTGTGGCCCTCTATGGTAGAACTGGATAATTACCCTGTTGGTTGTGGCCCTCTATGGTAGAACTGGATAATTACCCTGTTGGTTGTGGCCCTCTATGGTAGAACTGGATAATTACCCTGTGGTTTGTGGCCCTCTATGGTAGAACTGGATAATTACCCTGTTGGTTGTGGCCCTCTATGGTAGAACTGGATAATTACCCTGTGGTTTGTGGCCCTCTATGGTAGAACTGGATAATTACCCTGTTGGTTGTGGCCCTCTATGGTAGAACTGGATAATTACCCTGTTGGTTGTGGCCCTCTATGGTAGAACTGGATAATTACCCTGTGGTTTTTGGCCCTCTATGGTAGAACTGGATAATTACCCTGTGGGTTGTGGCCCTCTATGGTAGAACTGGATAATTACCCTATGTTTTTGTTCCTGTATGGTAGAACTGGATGATTACCCTGTGCTTTTTGACACTTTATGATAGAACTGGATAATTACCTTGTGGGTGGTGGCCCTCCATGGTAGAACTGGATAATTACCTTGTGGGTTGTGGCCCTCTATGGTAGAACTGGATAATTACCCTGTGGTTTGAAGCCCTCCATGGTAGAACTGGATAATTACCTTGTGGGTTGTGGCCCTCTATGGTAGAACTGGATAATTACCCAGTGTTTTTGTTCCTGTATGGTAGAACTGGATGATTACCCTGTGCTTTTTGACACTTTATGATAGAACTGGATAATTACCCTATGTTTTTGTTCCTCTATGGTAGAACTGGATGATTACCCTGTGCTTTTTGACGCTTTATGGTAGAACTGGATAATTACCTTGTGGGTGGTGGCCCTCTATGGTAGAACTGGATAATTACCTTGTGGGTTGTGGCCCTCTATGGTAGAACTGGATAATTACCCAGTGTTTTTGTTCCTGTATGGTAGAACTGGATAATTACCCTATGTTTTTGTTCCTCTATGGTAGAACTGGATAATTACCCTGTGGTTTGTGCCCCTCTATGGTAGAACTGGATAATTACCCAGTGTTTTTGTTCCTGTATGGTAGAACTGGATAATTACCCTATGTTTTTGTTCCTCTATGGTAGAACAGGATAATTACCCTGTGGTTTGTGGCCCTCTATGGTAGAACTGGATAATTACCCAGTGTTTTTGTTCCTGTATGGTAGAACTGGATAATTACCCTATGTTTTTGTTCCTCTATGGTAGAACAGGATAATTACCCTGTGGATTGTGGCCCTCTATGGTAGAACCGGCTATTTACCCTGCGTTTTTGTTCCTCTATAGTAGAACTGGATAATTACCCAGTGGTCTTTGATGCTTAATGGTAGAACTGAATAATTA